CTCAAGCACCTCATCCAAATGTCTCTTTAAAATCTAAAAGTGAATCACAGAATCCTGTCGCACCTCAACAGGTCACTTCCGGTGGCGTCTGGGCATCTTCTGTCGTCCGTTAAGAATTCCGCAAGAGGCTGTGACCCCCTCGGCCTTGAGATTCTTTGGGCCATTTAAACGTCCACCTTATCAGGTGATTCACTTCCTCCCACACACCTTGCAAGTAGCGTCTACACCTTGTACAAGACCTCCCTCTCCCTGGAGATTTAAAAAGGAGTTGACGGCCACGTGTTGTACTCAGACGGTGAGGACGTTACGTTGTATCTTCCTCAGGACATCTTTACCTTCGTGGAGATGAATATTAACGCCATTTATCGGGAAGGAATAAGTACCAGATATCACAAGGAAGGAGATCGTGGCTGGATAATAGTTTTGTTTTTCCTTCTTTGGTCCTCAACTCCGCCAAAACGACCTCGCGTCTCTGTCTCAACACATACGTTTTTAAAGAGGGGGTTCACCGAAACAAGCTGTGGTCTACATCCTGCGGGGATTGAAACATGCAGCGTCGTTGTTATAGCTTGGGTATCAACCACCAGTTACTTTTTACTGAGGTGGAGAGAAAAGGTAAAGAACTTAGAAAAAAACAAGAGATCGACTGAGGAATGTTAAAACTATACATGTCTAATAATCATCCACAGTTATTGTCTCAAGTAAAGAGTTTAACACTTAATAATCTCTCTCACATCCTCCTCTTCTTTCCTTCACACACTTATATCCCCTCTCTCTTTCGCGCACTCACACATCTCTCTCTCTCTCTCTCACAGACACACACACCCCCACACTGATTAGTCTTCAATTAGAATACGACGTCCAATGTATATGAACCTCTGTCCTGCGTGGGAGTGAACAGTGACATCACCCACATGAATCTGACCTATAAATACTGTCAATGAATATGATGTATTTCTTTGTGTATGAACCTCTGTCCTGCGTGGCAGTGAGAAGTGATACCACCCTTAGTGTCAAGACCTGACTGAATTATTCAGAATAGGCAAACTATACTCCAAGCTCTGTCAATAAATTTGTTAAACTAAAACCTGTCTTTCACACACATACAGGACACTGCCAAATTCTACGGGACGCCGTTAAAAAAGGTTATAATCTAACTTAAGCATCGATACAAAAGTGGTAGTCAAAATGGCGTGGAAACTACACTGAGACTCTGCCTTACCTAGATGCATTCTTGTATCGCTTGTGGCTGGTGAAAATAATTATTTGCACCTGAATGTTTGAGAATCCGGTTTTTGAAGGCCAAGCGGAACTTTATCAGCTGGACATACTGACGTCACATCTTGGAGGGAAGTTCTGAATACACTTGATATTCCCGCCATAAAACTGATTAGCACCTGATTTTTCCCGCTAAAATGAAGGTTTTCTATTGACTGACGGAGTTTGTACTATATAACACCGGAAAATCTAATTTAGGTCACCGATAAGACACTGATAGATTGAAAAAACTGGTACAGGATATAAGTACTGAGGAGAATTCTGTCTGTCTGTCTGTCTGCCTGTGTGTCTGTCTGTCTGTGTGTCTATCTGTCTGTGTGTCTCTCTGTCTGTCGTTATTAACCATGCCTATACACCTACTCCAACATTAGTCCTTAAATAACTATCGCTTCCTCAGGTAAACACGAATGACGTCACCAGGGTTGCCCACTACCTCCATAGAGATACTCTTCACTTATTCTCACTATCCTCATATCCACCACTTGCCTTCCCCATCCTTATCTTCTATCCACCCCATCCTCATTCTCCTATCCTCTTAATCTATCTCCCCTACCCTTCCCATTCTCCTTCTATATTCACCCCCTTCTCTAAGCTCCCCATCCTACTATCCTCCCCCTCTATTAATTCCCTCTCCCAAACTCTCCCCTATCCTACTATCCTCCCCTCTGTCTACCCCCCTTCCTAACCTCCCTCTTCCCTGGCAGTTTCTGAGATGACCGGATGTTCCCAGGTCAGGGCACGTGTCCTGATAAGGGAGGGGAGGGGGAGGGGGTGTGGGGGTAGGGGAGGTGTGGGAGAGGAGGGGGTGTGTGGGGGGAGGGGAGGTGTGGGAGGGGAGGTGTGGGAGATGTGGAAGAAGGTGGAAGGAAGGGAATATAAGGGGTGGAGAGAGAAAGGCGAGGATGGACGGAGGAGAGAACGGAAGGAATAGGGTTGGGGAGGAAAAGAAGTAGGGGGATTAGACGAAAGGGGAAGGAGGGAAGGGATGGGAGAAGGGGGGGAGAGGGGGGAGGGGAGAGGGGTGCAGGTGAGACAGGTGGTAGTGTGGTGGAGGTGAGGTACTTGAAAAGGACTTGGGTCTCTCTCTCTCTCTCTCTCTCTCTCTCTTAACCAGTCACAATCGCTAGTCACCATCACCAGTCATTACAACAGCCACCACTACCAGTCACTACACGTCACTATCACCAGTCAACATCACCAGTCACCACTCCCAGTCACCAATCACCACTTTCTCAGATTACTTTTTACTTCACCTTTACAAACTCAACTAAACGACGTATCTTTAAAAAAAAAATCACAGTTCATATTAGGATGGTTTAGGACAGCTCCCAGGTTACATGTACACAAACCCATACATGATGTTTACTTATACATGACACACCCACACACACACATATACACTCTCACACACATACACACACACACACACACACACACTCTCACACACACTCCTTTTCCTGATCATACTGTTACTTTTAATGGTCAAAATTACGACACAAAACACACTCCACACGTTCCTCCAGCACACGTCGTCATTACCTGCCCAAAACTCTTAAAATACGAATAAAACTCTTCCTTTTCCACACTTTTTATCAACATTTAAGTCAATCTAAAACCCGCCCTTTCTGACCAAACTGACAAAGAAAGTTTCGGTAGATGAGGAATAGTTTCTAAGGAATATTTTCTATTCCTGGCGTCTCCTGTATTGAGGTGATCTTCCTTACCTTACACATGTCATTATTCTTAAACTTGTTAAATTTCTTAATATTTGAGCAAATTTTGAGTAACATTGTCAACATTTAACACAAGGGCTTTAACATCCGGGTCTTCTTGTATGAGGTAAAAGGTAAAACATTGTCTAAGTATTGCGTTGTTGTGTTACAGCTGTTATGTGTTGTTGTGTTACAGCTGTTATGTGTTGTTGTGTTACAGCTGTTATGTGTTGTTGTGTTACAGCTGTTATGTGTTGTTGTGTTACAGCTGTTATGTGTTGTTGTGTTACAGCTGTTATGTGTTTATATACAGCGTTAAATGTGTGTGTGTGTCATAGCTGTTATGTATTTGTGCGTGTTACATATGTTACAGCTATCAAGAATGACAAATATATGTATACACATCAACTATTGCGTTACTGTATGTGTGTGTGTGTGTGTGTGTGTGTGTGTGTGTGTGTGTGTGTGTGTGTGTGTGTGTGTGTGTGACTTCTGAAACGTCGTATGACAATTCCCTAAATTCGGTAGATGAGCGGAAGGCCGTTATCTGCCCTTAGATGCGGCTCCCCAAATCAGCATGTGCGCGACGCCGACTACGTGTCGCCAGCGACTGTACAGCACAGATGCCTGAGTATGAAGGCTACAGTTGGCGTTGTTTCTAGTAATTCTATTTCGGATTAACATTACGCGTACTATGTACATTATATCATCTTGATTTTGGGGACTATAAAAACGATAAAGGGATGAAAACCAGGCTGGCGGTCAACTGTATCAGGACACTCGCCAAGCTGGTGTACAGTCTTGAACGAAAATCCCTTCGTTCACCTGTGACTCCGAAGTACTGAAACTAGTCTCGAACTGCCTGTCTACATCTACGTGGCGCTGCAGTGTCTCATTCTGGTTTAGTACAGTTTTGAACCTACGTGCAAAGAAACTGTTGTTCTTAACTGTACAGTTGGGGTCAAAAGTTCGTTCCCTGTAGTGGAGATGAGTCACGGAAATGAGTCTTCTAATTTACCCTGACTGTCATCTGGTACGGGTGTGCTGTTTTATCTCATTTGGGGTCGATATTACTTCAGTTTGGGAGGAAATGAACTTTTGACTCAGGGTATACAGTAGCTTGTCTTAACCGGACCATAAATAAGAGATTATGAAGGACCACAGGCCGCCACGTGGCCTCATGACCAAGACTGACTCCTTATCATTTCCTTTGTTTTCGCTTCTTTCCTTTAGGAGAGTTGAAGGAATGTAATAATAATGAAGAACCATAAAGAAATACATAAATAAAAAAAAATCAAAGGTGAGAAACAATATTTGTATGTTGTGTTGTTAAAGTAAGAGAAACAATTGAGACCCTGCAATTGTGTGTAAATGAGGCAGCAAGTCAGATCATCAACCAGAGACTTGGTCACAATTTTCGTGATGCCATATGGCAGCAGGGTCTACCATTAGACAACACATTATGCTTCCAATATCTTCCCAGGCGGTAGTACCTCCCCGTTTGATATCTGCCTACAACCTACTACCTGCGGTTAATATAAAAGTTTAAAGTCGTTTTTGGCTGCTCTCACCAACAGGTAGCAACGGAGGACTTAATGATGCTACATATCTTGAGTGTAATCTGAACCGGAGCAGTCGAGGACGAGGTGGTGGTGTGCTGTACTGACGCCTTGTCTTACTTTGCTCCCAACATTATCAAGGCGGGTCAAGGGTCCTTTTAATTATCAATTGCCGCTTTCTCTTTTACTCGGGTATCCCAATTATGGTTTTCAGCCCCTCTAAATGAGTATTGATAAAATGTTGGTACTGTACATGAATGAACAAACAGCCGCTAAAAAAAAAAATAACGTTGATCCCTGCACTAAGGTTAGCATAGAACATGTGGTCGCCTGTACATAAAAAAAGTTTTAAATACAATTACAAAAATTAAATACGAACAACAAATAAATAAATAACAGATTTTTTTTTTAAGGTGGAGAGATGAACAGAACAGAGAAAGAAGAAGTCTACCTTTATGCATAGTGTGTCGTCTCGGGGCGTGGCACCAGACCAGCGGGTCATGGTGGCGGGACGGTATCAAAGTATCTGCAAGTCAGAAACAAGTGTATTGGTATGGTACACTCCACATCCCTCCCACACTCACCACACCTATACACGAGACAGGTGCTGAAATAGAAGCACTGGTATACATGCGTAAAAAACATATACATGTCTGAATGTATGATGTCCGTGCAGTGACGCGCGCGCGAACACACACACACGCACACGCACACACACACACATTCATATGCCTCCAACAGTAATACATGCATAAACACTTACAAAAACGTACGTGAATAACGATAAACATACAGATACACGTACACACACATACAAATAAACACTGGATTGTTAAACACCGAGAAAATGGAGTTAAGAGTCAGCTTGTGGCAGACAGTGCGGTTTATAAGGTAAAGAAAGTTCCCAGTATAGGGAGTAGTGGGCAGCCGTCCCGTCAGGCTGAAGGCCCACTGACTCCTTCACTTGACACATACATGATATTAACAGTAAAAGAACAATTACAATGAAAAATCACAACAGCGAGAAACATGGCAAAAAATCTGAAAATATTGACCGTCAACTTATAAAAAAATAGGAAGAATGTTGTACCCACACGGTATCGTTCAGTAAGGACAAGGGCAGACAATGAGCTAAGAGAGGCGAGGAAGAAGAAATTAAGGTGTACACAGAGTATCCCGCAGTGCTCACAGAGACCAACACCTCCAGGTCAGGTCACACACGCTGATCACATACACGAATCTGTCGAGTTAGTGGTAAACGAGAGTCGACACGAATGATAACTTAACTCAAGATAACCTCGGTGGTGTTGGAGTAATGTTAGTTTTATACATCACTTCAATCACTTGGCACAATGACTGACCGCAAGAAAGACACACTCGGAGGAATCATTTTCACCAGGTGGGGTAGACTCTCTCACAGGATAATTAAAAAGGTGTTGGGAAGGTGAGTAATGCTCGTGTTACCGTTTTTGCTTCTGAACAGTAGAGAAGAAAGTCCTGTATCCCTTACACACCGTCCTCACAGCTTCCAGTGACCGGCAACATGACTAAGCCAGAGTCTCCAAGCTGTGAACGGCTAACATGTACCTGTAAATTCTTGATACTGTTCTTCACTCTCTTGTATTAAAATTACTATACTGTGTGTGACCATCTGGGAACCTTTCTTGCTATATATTTTTCTTTTGTGTATATTTTAATTTCTTGTCGTCGGTGGCACCAAATCTGCTTAATCATTATTCTCTTTTCAGTCTTGGACACCTATACTCGCCTCTTTCAGTATGTATAAGGGTGAGTGGGAGGAACAATTATTGCTTCTCGATTCACAATATTGATCTTTTTCCACTTTCATTCTCCTTCGTATCTGTGATTTAAAATATTTCAAGTTTTTCTCGACTCTTGAGTTACTTCATTAACGCGACATTCACACACACACACACACACACACACACACACACACACACGTGCTATAAACAAGGACACGTAAGAGGAAGAAGTGCCAGTTCACCTCTCCCCCCGTCCCCCCACACGCCCCTCCCTAACACGGTACACAAGACCCCTACCCCACATTTACATCACCTGGACGTGTCCGCCCCAGATAGGCGACGCAGCCCGCCATCTGCGTCACAATGCCACCATCCACACTTAACATCCTGCATCATTTCCACGCCCGCGGCCTCCACCCTACCCCCTCAGCGCCTACCGAGGGAGGGCGGGAGGATATCCTTCCGCTTGCCACAATGCTACTAAGGTCCGACAATGGTCGTCGGGGCGTGACCTCCAACAGGCACTTCCTCCCACTGCCACGTATTTACATGTTAAGTGATGGCGGCCGATTTGCTGGTGGTAGTGGTGGTGTGACCTGGTGGTGGTGGTGTGGCCTGGTGGTGGTGGTGTGACCTGGTGGTGGTGTAAACTGGTGATGATGTTGTGACCTGGTGGAAGTGTGACATAGTGGTGGTGGTGTGACCTGGAGGTGATGTTGTGACCTAGTGATGGTGTGACTTGGTGGTAATGTTGTGACCTGGTGGTGGTGTGACCTAGTGGTGGTAGTGTGACCTGGTGGTGGTGGTGGTGGTGTGACCTAGTGGTGGTGGTGTGACCTGGCGGTGATGGTGGTGTGACCTGGTGATGATGTTGCAGATCTGGTGGTGGTGTGACCTAGTGGTGATGGTGTGACCTGGTGGTGCTGGTGTGACCTGGTGGTGGTGGTGTGATCTGGGGTGTGACCTGGTGGTGGTGTGACTTGGTGGTGGTGTGCCCTAGTGGTGGTGCTATGCCTGGTGGTGGTTGGTGTACCTGGTGGTGGTGTGACATGGTGGTCTTTGTGGTGTGATCTGGCGGTGATGGTGTGGCCTGGTGGTGTGACCTGGTGATGGTAGTGGTGGTGTGACCTAGTGGTGGTGTGGTGTGGCCTGGTGGTGGTGTGGTGTGACCTGGCAATGTAGTGACCTGCTGAGGTGATGGTGTAACCTGGATGGTGGTGTGATTGTGTGACCTGATAGTGGTAGTGACCTGGTGATTATGATGTTGTAACTTAAGATGGTAGCGCGCGCACACACACACACACACACACACACACACACACACACACACACACACACACACACACACACACACACACACACACACACACCAATAGAACAAGATAATTTTACGAGCCGACAAACCCGTCACCTCACTCATATTGTTATGGCTAAATTTCGAGGAAAAATATAAGGAACAGGTAATAAACAAGACGATAAAAGAATAAAAAATAATACATAATAAACACGTAAACAAAACCACAGAAGAATACATACGGAACAGATAAATGTATTAGAATAAGAATAACAAAAATAAATAAATAAAGTTACAACACAAGTAAACGTAGATAATAATAATAATAATAATAATAATAATAATAATAATGATGATGATGATGATGATGATGATGATGATAATAATCTTCACTCTAGGTATTCACAAACAAAATCCCACAAAACATCAAACACAAAATCCCAGACAGATAAATAGATCAACATAAACATTCGCGTAACCACACCTGCAAGCTGTCACCTTCAACACCTGTGTACGGAAGGGGGGGTGGGAAAGGTTAGAGGGGGTAAAGGGGAAGTAGCGAGGTGAAGGAGGGGAGGAAGGGGGGTGGGGAGAACAAAAGAGAAAGAGGTGAGGGGGGGTGAGAGGGGGTGGTGAGGGGCAAGCAGAAAGGAGAGGGTTAGGTGTAAGGAGGGGTTAGGGGGGTAGCAGAAAGATGTTAGGGGAGTGTGAAGGAAAGGGGGAAGGGGGAGGGTAAAGGGTGGTTAGGAGGGGGTAAGTACACAACACGACACAGATATACACTTGCTGTAGGGCGTAGTTAGAATATGCAAGTGTATGGAGGCGAGAGTTACACTTATACGGTGTGGCAACATGTGGTGTGAATAATGCGTTGGTACATGACTGCGGCATCAGGTAGGCGTTACAGGTGTATACGTTAAAACGACACTACGACAACAGGTATGAACGAGAGTACGGCCAAAGATGTGAGTTAAAACGGGGTTATGATAACAGATATGCAACTCAACGGATGGCAACGGATATGTGTTAAGATAATGTTGCAACAGAATATGTGTTACGCGCACGCACACACACACACACACACACACACACACACGAATAATGGTTTGTCCTTTTTTGTTGTGTGTGTGTGTGTGTGTGTGTGTGTGTGTGTGTGTGTGTGTGTGTGTGTGTGTGTGTGTGTGTGTGTGTGTGTGTGTGTGTGTGTGTGTGTGTGTGTGACAATCATAATACCACACCGTACTATTAAATCAGTTTTGTCGTTTACATCAAATAATATTTCTTAGCAAGAGAAAAAACACAATCGTTTTATATACATACATATATACGAGTATGTACAGTATATTTATTTTTTTACAGCAGCGACTGACAACACCATTGGAGTCGTACCCTTCCCTCCTCCTCCTCCTCCACCTCTACTTCCTCCTCCACATCCTTCTCCTCTTCTACTCTCACCACGTCCCACACTAACGAGGGAACTCTACAACTAACAAACGAAGGGGTGAAAACAATGTCATTCCTCTCTCTCTCTCGTGTAAGCAATGACACTGTAATCGGTGTAATCGGTGTAATCGGTGTACTATGATGTTTTTCCCCTGTAACCAGACAAACCACGATACCAATCTTCGTATTTTTCTATCAAGGTAAAAAAAAAAGACAGATATATACATTAATAATATTTGGTTAACATTCCCTTAACAAAACCCTGACCTTCTCTCCCCCCCTTAATTTGTTCCTCATTACCAGTGCCTATTTTATTTTCACCTACTCACCTAACTAACTCACCTACTCAATATCTAACTAACAACAACAAATAAACAAAGACTAACTAACTGGTTGAATGGCTAACTTACAAACAAAGTAACTAACTGACTGGTCCCTATACAACAAACACACACACATGCGCGCGCCATCGTCAAAAAAAAAAACATTTTATATTCCTTTTTTTGGTGTTTGTTTTTTAGGGTGAAGGAGTTTCGTTTTGGTGTGTGTGTGTGTGAGTGTATGCATGGCTACAGTAGACAGCCGAGACGAATTTAATTGGCTGGATGGCATCGTTGGTTGGTGTAGTCATAGCAACAATAACAAAAGGTCGATTTAGGAGAAAAAAAAAATTGTGGAGATATATATATACATAGAGTGGGAGAAAAATGTTCAGACGTGAGGTGAATATCACACACACACACACACACACACACACACACACACACACACACACACACACACACACACACACACACAACACACACACACAGAAAATAGGAGTTTGCAGTGTCAAGGAAATTTTTTTGACCTATTCAAGTCTAGTTAATCTTGATTTATGCAAATATTGGCTAATCAATAATCAAATTAACTAGACATACTAAAATATAAACTACTAACTCGATATAATCCTCCTTAAGGTTCACCAATCAGGAATAGACTAGAAATAACTAATACTAACAGCCAAAGGTCTAATCATTCCCCTAC